GGCAGTTGGTGGTATTAAGCTGCCAAAGCCAATTGTGGGTAACTTGTTGCCAGGGGGCCAGTTAGGGGTGACCATGCCAGCAAGGAGAGCAGTTAGGGGTGACCAGTCTGGCAGAAGGGGGGCAGTTGGGGGTGACCAGTCCAGCAGGGGGGGCAGTAAGGGGCGACCAGGCTGGCAAAGGGGGCAGTTTGGGATGACCAGGCAGGCAGGCAGGCAGGTGAATGATTAGGAGCCAGGGGTCCAGGATTGTGAGAGGGATGTCTGACTGCCGGTTTAGGCCCGATCCCGGGGACACCCCCAGAGGGGTCCCAGATTGGAGAGGGTACAGGCTTGGCTGAGGAACCCCCCCCCTCCCGTTCACGAATTTCATGCATTGGGCCTCTAGTTCTAGATATATAAATGCCTAAGCAACAGTTCGACCATTCAACCAGTAGCTATGATGCACACTGACCACCAGGGGGCAGATGCTTAATGCACAGGCATGGAAACATGGAACTGACTGATGAATCTCAGAGGGAAGGGAGGAGGGGGGAGGGCAGGAAGAGATTAACCGAAGATCTTATATTGCATACTAGAGGCCCAGTGCATGGATTCATGCACCAGTGGAGTCCCTCAGCCTGGCCTGGGGGGTCAGGCCAAAACCAGTAGTCCAACATCCCCCAAGGAGTCCCTGATTGTGAGAGGGTGCAGGCCAGGCTGAGGGACCCCACTGGTGCATGGATCCATGCACTGGGCCTCTAGTTATAAAAAATGCTGCAATAAACATAGGGTACATATATTCTTTTGGATTATGTTTTGGGTTTCTTCAGATAGATTTCCAAAAGTGGAATTGCTGGATCATAAGGCAGTACCATTTGTAATTTTTGAGGCAACTCCATACTGCTTTCCACAGTGGCTGCACCAATTTTCATTCCCACCAATAATGCACAAGGGTTCCCTTTTCTCTACATCCTTGCCAACAGGTACATTTACACAATGAAATACTACTCTGCTGGAAAAGGAAGTAAATTTTACTTTTTGTGACATCATGGATGGAACTGAAGGGCATTATGCTAAGGAAAATAAGCCAGAAAATAACAAGTACCATATGAGTTCACTAATATGTGGAATTATTGAACAAACTGAATTATCAAGCAGAATAGAGACAGACTCATAGGTAGAGAGCAGGCAGACAGCTTTAGTTGGGGGTGGGGGTAGATGGAGGGGTGTGGCAGTATTGAGCAAAAAAGAAAAAAGGAGAACTCATCGACATGGACAACAGTGTGGTGATTGCAGGAGGTGGGTGAGTGGAGGTGGAAGAGGGCATAGAGGGGATAAATGGTGATGGGAAAATATAAAATAGGAAAAGAAAAAAACAAATTTGTTGTTTGCACATCACCCAGATATGATATTTTGTTATAGCAGCCTGAAAGAACTAAGACAGATGGTGTAATGTACATGTTTCTGAATGTTTGTGTCCACCCAAATTTCATATGGGTGTAGGGGTTGTTGGATTTGGAGGACATTAATATTCTAAACCTCTAAAAAGCAGAGCTTATTCCTCTCATATTAATATTCATCCATCTTTAACAACTGTGCATATCTTTTTTGTTCCTTTTTTTTAAAGATGTATCTTATATGAATGAATCACCAGTTTGAAGTTATTGGTAAATAAAAGTTTCCATTTAACAATAGTCTCCAAAATATCTACCATAAAGGGTATTTCTGTGAAATATGTATTTATAAATATTTCCCTTCAAATTGAATATGCAAAATATATTTTATTTTTATATGATCTGTATCACATGATTCACTGGCATAGGAATCTTTCCCAGAGGTATGGTTTTCCTGGACCTTTAATGTCATCATCACTACCATCCCACTTCATTTGACCCCTTATTTACCAATTTCACCCTTGTTAGGTTGGAAGGACTGGTTTTACCTTATATCACTCTTCTTCCCTCTGATGTTTTTCCTTGTCATTTCCTTCAAGCTAGATTAGAGGAGTCACAGGAATTCAGCTCAGGCTTTGAGGTTGCAAACTGATTGTGCTGTAAGGAAATTTGATTTGAAAACTTCATTTGTCTTTTGGGATTCTTTTTAATATATTTAAAGTTCTGTATAATCCTATATAATAAAGAGGTAATATACAAATTGACCATCACTCCAACACACAAGATGGCTGGCAGAGGAGGGCAGTTGTGGGCGATCAGGCCAGCAGGGGAGGGCAGTTGGGAGGGACCAGGCCTGAAAGGGAGGGCAGGTGGGGGCTATCAGGCCTGCAGGGGAGGGCAGTTAGGGGCAATTGGGCCAGCAGGGGAGCAGGTAGGCATTGATCAGTCTGGCAGGGGAGTGGTTAGGGGTGATCAGGCTGGCATGAAGAAGCAGTTAGGGGCAATCAGGCAGGCAGGCAGGCGAGCAGTTGGGAGCTAGCAGTCCTGGATTGTGAGAGGATCCACTGGGATCGGGCGTAAACGGGCAGTTGGACATCCCTTGAGGGCTTCCAGAGTGGAGAGAGGGTGCATGCTGGGCTGAGGGACACCCCCCCTTCCGTGCACGAATTTCATGCACCAGGCCTCTAGTATACAATGAAAGGTTGACTTACCCTGTATTCAAAACTATCTGATAACTGTCATTGGCATCTATACTTACCAATTTCTGGGACTGAAGTGTAAGTTAATTTCAGTAAGAAGGTGGTACTATGTCTATATATCCAGGGTTTTTATTACTATCAAGCTATAAAAGAAAATTGATAAGTATTTGGCTTTGAAAGTCATAGTAGTTCTATCAATACTTCCTAGATATATGTGATAAATAGTAAATACTTAAATGTTATTTCTTTTATTAATATTTTTGCCTGCAGTAAAAAATAATAAATGGAAAAATTGGAAGCTGATCTATAACCTAGATGAACATAATTATTTAACTGAGATGATCTTTATTCATGCTTCTCTCTATTTATTGCTTGCTTTGCACAGGAAGGAGCTGCAGGAACTGCAGAATCTTTACAAACAGAACAGTGCACATACAGCACAGCAAGCAGAGCTGATCCAACAGCTTCAGGTTCTGAATATAGACACACAAAAAGTACTGAGAAATCAGGAAGATGTTCATACAGCGGAAAGTATATCATATCAAAAAGTATGCTTTTATTCTGTCATAAAAATGTAAATTTACATGTATGAAACTATAAAAATATGTCAAATTCAATTTTTTCAGATTTCAACATTTCTTTATTATTCCCCTTTATATGTGATTCTTCAAAATTAAAAATGAAATATGATTCAATTTGGTAATATTTAAAATTTTGAGGGTTTTTTTGGCTGTTAAAGAGGAAACATTTAAAATATAGATATAAATTTATTCTGTAGGATATTTTTTATTTGAATTTTGATAACTACTATGAAACATACTAGGACTATAGCCCCCAAACCAGAATGGATTTGGAGAATGGAATTACTTTTCTATTATGAGAAATTATTTGTGGGATTCCAGTTTATGACCTAAAGCAGTCTTTCATTATAGAATTTGTGTGTTATTTTATTGGCAAATCTGCACAAACACAATGTGTATGGTGGTGAGGTCTTCAGGTCAATATTTCCCAAGGATTTTTCTCTATTTTGTGTGTTTCTTTTGAATAGTCATTCTACTTTCCAGTTGTTTTAGAATTTCCTCAAGAATGCTTACCCAGCTGTTTAGGTTTTCTGACTGACACAGCAGCAATAATTATAGCTAGTACTTAAAATACACATCTTCATTGAATTCTGTATATTTTGTATCATGTACTGAGTTATTTATATGACTATGTTAGTTCCTATATAGGCCAACCCTATGAGATTGATGTTATTCCCTCATAATAGTTAAGCAACCAAGGCGTAGAGAGGTTAAATTGAGCAGTCTGTGTTTTTGTTTTGTTTTGTTTAAACTTCCTCTTCTAAAACATGCATCATAAAAATTCAATATCTGTAATTAATATAAAATAAACCATTAAGTAAACTTTAAACACCTACTTTTAAATGATGCTTTGGAACCATGCTTTTCCATCTATATTATTTGTTCCCTTTGGGATTCCATCAGGATGTGGATACCAAGTGAAAGAGTAGTCTTATCCTCTCCACTTCAAATAAACCAGCTCCACCTTTTTGTTTTATGTGAGATTGCCCGTTATGCTTTTGTTTCTAAACCAGTCTCCATTGCTAAAATGACATGAAAAATTGGACCTTGTTAATAACTTAAATTTTTCTCTCTTTCATTTGCATATTTAACTCAAATATTTATTTCTTAATTTTTGCTTCCATATCATGGTAATTTATATTCCAATGTAGCATGTTATTCTCTGTGAAAAGAGCCCCATCATTATTTTTCAGCCACTGAAAATTTGTCCAAATTTGCTTTTTTTAAATTTTTCTCTAACATTGCAATTTTTAACTTTTTGATCTCCTTTAGATTTTTCATTTTCTGCAGGAGGTCTTGTTTTTCTTTTTTCCTTGAAAATGTATTCATTTTGGAGTTCAGGATTTTTTAATTTGGGAATGATCATACTGTTTTATTTATCACAAGTAAAGAGTGTGCTACTCTTCAGACTTCCAGTCTTCATTTATATTAAATTATTCATTCTAATCCTAGAGCAATTTACTTAATACTTGTCTCTATTCCTCTTCCACATGTATTTTTCTAAAATTTCCTCCAATAAATGGAGTAATTTAATAGTCCATTCAACAATGAGATAAAATTGTTTACTTAAAAATTAAGATTTTCCAATATATTTTCACATAAATTAATTTATTTTTTTCCCAAATAATAATTGTGGCCTAGCTGTAAGACTCAGGTGAATAAAAAATAAATAAAATATTATATTAATAGTTTATCTCTAATTCTTACTAAGCTTGCTACTTTAAGAATTAGGTATTCTTAAGTTATTGTTTCTAATTAGTTTATGTCTGTTTCCTCTCTCTTTACTATTTTTTGTTTCCCTCCCATTTCTCCTCTTTTTTCCATTATTAAGATGATTTCTATCATAGTATCCATTTCAGTATGTGAAGAGATAAGAAAAACTGTTGCCCAGCCCTAGCCGGTTTGGCTCAGTGGATAGAGCGTCGGCCTGAGAACCAAGGGGTCCCAGGTTCAATTCCAATCAAGGTTACATGCCTGGGTTGTGGACTCAGTCCAGTGTGCGGGAGGCAGCCGATCAATGATTCCCTCTCATCATTAATGTTTCTATCTCTCTCTTCCTCTCCTTTCCTGTCTGAAATAAATAAAATATACTTAAAAACAAAACAAACAAACAAACAAACAAACAAAAATCTGTTGCCCACAGTAGCAGGATGAGGGGTAAGAGACAAAGGTGAAGAAAGAAAACTGAAAAGAATTTTGAACACACGATAGAGGTGTGTCATATTTTTCCACAGATCTGTATAACAGACCATTAGTCCTATAAATAAAACTACCCAACAAGTAACGTTCATGGCTGCTCTGGAAGAAAAACACCCAGGAGAAATAAAAGTAAGCTAGTGTGTTTTCTTCCTCTGACTATGTAGCCATTTATATAAGTTCTAATAATTTTTCTACCTTTGTTGGTGTATACATGTGTACCTTTAAATAAAGGTGGGAATTGTATCATTATGATTTCTAGATCACCTAACATGTTTTGCGTTCTAAATATGTATTTTATCACCTTTTGTTCTATTTAATCATAATTATATGACATGAGCTAATATCAATCCAGGAGAATAAGGAGTTAGGTTATGCATAGTTTTAGTTTAAACTGCATGTTAAATCAGAACTTTGCCTTCGCATTTTTCTACTATAAAGAGATAAAATTTTTCACCTGTAGAACTTATTGTCTCAATCAGAGTAGCAAATAGTATACTTACTCACTAAACATGGAAATTTTGTTTTTTAAGCAAATTAGTTATTGGGTCACAGAGCATATATTTTTATTTTTTTAAGGTAAATAAAATACCATTTTGTTTCTTAGCACTAATAAAAAAATATGGGCAAAAGAATGCTGTAGTCTCAGCCCCTGAAAATTAAAGAACTTGAAGTTTGGGGCCCTGTTTCTGGAGATAACTTGCTTTCTGTCTCTTGGAAATCCTCAATCTTTTTTCATTTTTTAATTTCTTCAACAAACTATTGCTTGAAGAATAATAAGCATAATAAGTTACTCAGGAATTATGAGGATGATACTTCTAAAGTATATAGGGGAATATATGATTAAATGTTTGCATAGGCCAGAATTTTGCAAAAGATGCTGATACATTCCATATTTATCGACTATTAGAGGAAAGAAATTGTAGAGAAAAGTTCCTCTGAAAACTGCTGTAAGCAGTTGTGATTGTTAATATGGAAAGAGTTATTAACTCAAGATGCCTAAACCATTGCAGATGAATGAAATTACTATATTATCTAATTTACTCACTTGAGAACTTTTTTTTTTACCCACTCTACTGTTATTAATGAGATGAGAATAGATGGTACTTAATCAGGGGACTGGAATATCCTAAACTGTTGCCCCTTGCAAGATCTAGAAAAATAAATATTCTATTATCCTAGGGATTCATCACCATAAAATATATTAGAAATGAAAAAATAATCTTACCTTCATTGAAGGCTTTTTTTTAAGCCAAATTTACTGGTAGACTGGACCTAGAATTAAAAATGGCTAAAGGCTGTCTTTGCATTCTTTACTCTAAGTTCACAATTGAGTGGTCTTATTCCTATTAAATAAGTGAAGCCCATGCAGCTATCAAAGAAAATATGCAAGTAGGAGATGTACATTGGAATATGAATAAGGAAAAAGAGAGATTTTGTCCTAATTCCCGGAGCAGGGCTGGTCTAGGTCTAGATCATCTATTCCAGGCTTTCTCAGTTCTTTTTTATCTGTTGCTTGGAAGGATGTTTCAGAGAAAGACAGAGCTTGCCTCAGTTTCTAGAGTTGCCTACTCAGTGGTATCAGATCAAGCCAGAGCAACTTCTGAATAGGAAGGAATACAACTGCATAAGCTGCATGGCAGAGAGAGCAAAGTAGAGAATACAGAAGATTGCTGTTAGTCTTCATTTTTATGGAAACAAGACAGAAGAGACAGGAGACGAGGAAAAAGACATTAAGATAGAGCCTTCTTCCATAAATGATGAGGCACAGAGCCTTATATCTGTGAGGGAAGATCTCAAGACATGACACTCAAGAGAAAAATATACCTTATCATTGGCACCAATGGAAGTAAATTGATTCTCAGTCCTGATTGTACATTATCATCATGCCTGCACCTTGGGCAATGGGAGGGAAATGAGTTTTTCTTTGTCAATACTTATCAACGTTCACGATATTCTCAAATATCCGAAATCTGTAAATTCTTATTTATGTATTTATTTATTTATATATGTTATTTATTATTTTTTGGTTAATCCTCACCCAAGGATATTTTTTCCATTGATTTTTAGAGAGAATGGAAGGGAAGGAGGGTGGGGGAGAGAGAGAGAAACATCGATGAGAGAGAGAGACACATCGATTGGTTGCCTGCCTCCTGCACACTCCCTGACCAGGCCAGGGATCAAACCTGCAACTCAGGTAATGCCCTTGACCAGGAATCGATGTGCGGGCCGTCACTCTAACCACTTAGCAACACCAGCCAGGGAGTAAATTCTTTTTTCAAATATATTTTTACTGATGTATAATTTGAAATCTATAAATTCTTTAATAATATTACTTTCTATAATTTTCCTCCAAAGATGTTAATTTGTACTGATTGGGTAAGGCTGGTTAGTACTAATAAAGCATACAAATAAGAGAAAGTGGTTAAATAACTTTTCAATGGAATGTTTGACTCTGTATGCTCTTGGGTAGACCTTCACTCATCCTAGTTTCAAACCTTTCAAGTCAGCTTAGCTCTTGTCTCCAGATTTTGTGCATTTCTTTTCCTGCCCTGAACTCAGTCATGAAAGGAGCAACAGTACAGGTAGGTCACTGTAGGGCCTACTCTGATCCCTTCATTGTTCCTCAAAGCTGTCAGGTTTCTACTCGCTCTTCCCTCCTAGAATATGTGACGGTATCAGCTGTGGAAAGGACATTGGACATACTTCCTGGTATAAAGGTAATTGGAAAGGAAAGTACAAATTTATGTCCTGAAATTCTTTATAGATCATATTGGCAACCCTTCCTTTATAAAAATTGCTTAGACTTTGGCTGTAAAGTGAAATGGATTGTTTAAAGTATCTATAATAATATAGAGGTATAATGCCTTATAGAAAATTAAAAAGTATATTGAGCTAATTACATGTCAGAGGAATGGTTTGGAGAATCTTGTTTTTATGGCAAAGTATATGTCTGAGAAAAAGCATTAAGAGATTTCACAAGCCTTTTTTGATTGTAAACTTTTAGAAATTAAAGTATAGCATACATACATAAAAGTACTGTGCCATCTTTTGTGTAGTTAGATTTCTTTCCATAAAGCAAGGCCTAATGGAAGATTCTCCCCATCTAAGAACCTGCTGTATTAGCTACATAATTTTGAGATCCCGTTGGGGATTTTACTTTGGTTACAAGATCTTACTGTTAGCCATATATATATAGAGAGATCTCACTATCAGCCATATATATATCTATATAACAACAACACAAATCTTAGCTCTTGGATCACTTTCTCAGTTTCATCAACAAATATACATATAGATTCTTTATTTAAATCAGTTACCATAAAGTGAATTAGGTCTCATTAAATCACAATCAAAAGTTGGGATTTTCATCAGAAATAAGTTCATGAGTATTGGAAAACTACCATTGTTAATCATATTTGACTGCTTGATGCCACTTATGTACCATGTGCTATCTCACAGTTTTAATAAATTCTAATTTTAAATTTAATGCACATTGCCTTGAGTTAAAAAATTAAAGTTATATATCATGCCCTTCAGAACATTGCTTCTATTTTATCACACTTTGTTCAAAGTGTTTAATAGTTCCCTGTTGTCTATGGGGTGTCTTTACCTTCTGTCTATAGTCTTCTTGCCTGACTTTATCTCTTACCATTTCTTCTGTCCCTCCTCGCCTATTTTAGCAGTAGATGCTAATTTATCCTAAATGGGAATATATCAGTTAAGGTCCACCTTAACGAACTTTCAATGAAAGACTCTTGTTTTTTATTTCAAATGTGCATATTAAGTCTAATTAGGTTGATATGTCTTATGCTCCCTTTCTGTCCTTTCCTGTCACTGTACATTATTTTCTCACATTTCTGCCACCGTTAGAATGACCTTTTATTTTCATTCCATTTCTATAATACCAATGGCTCAGTTCAAGTCCTTTTTTAATGGAACCATCCAAGATTAATATAGCTAGCTTAAAGTGTTTCCATCCTCCCTAGAAATTTAGTACATTTTCCTATATTATGCTGGCCAATAATCATATTGCACTTTTAAATATCAGTTGTGGTTTTATATTGAGTGCAGGACTATCATGAATATGTATATTTTTAATTGGTTATTAATAGATTTGGATGTATTTTTCAAAACAGCTTTACAATGAGTTACATATTTGTTTTGAAACCACAAAATCAAGTGAAGCTATGCTCCGGCAAAGTGTTGTTAGCCTTCAGGATCAGCTATTTCAAAAAGAGCAAGAAAATGCTAAGTTAAAAGAAAAGCTTCAAGAATCAACAGGAGCACCTTATTCTTTACCTCAAGAAAGCGATTCAGATCACTCAGAACAGGTGAGAAATGTTTTCTAAAAAATGTTGCCCACTGCAATATCATATTAAATCCTCTCCTACAATTGACTAAAACTAAAATTTTAAATAATTTTGTAAGTATTAGGGAATAAGTTGTGGCAGGTAGTTTTCATTGTGCTATTTTTTATAATCTTTGTATACATGAGTATTATACATAATATGAATTCATATAGAAATGCATCTACAGGTTAAGTCTGGAATAGTTATTGTGATTATACATTTTGCTAATTTACACTAATGAAGAGAAATTAATAGGTCATGGCCATTTTGAGACTTTTTAACTGAATGAGTTAATAGAATGGAAAGAGTATTGGATGGGAAATGTCATAAAGTACTTGTTATAATGGTATATGGTACTTAATACCTTTTAGTCCCAGTTCTGCCACTGCCTTGATGCATGATTTTAGACATTTCTAAGTTGAGCTTTCTACCTATATCCTGTGTTATTAAGTGAGGCAGTACAAATGTATAGATAAATATGCAGGTTCAGAATTCAACTAAATCTGGGATCAAATTACAGCTCTGCCTGTGAGCTTTGTGTACTTGAACAAATGTCTTTTAACCCTTTCAGCCAAAGTTTCCTCACAAATAAAATGTTGATAATAATGGTATCCATGTCATAGAGTTTTTGAGGATCAGTATTATAATTCATGACAAGTGTAGAGTTTGACATATAGCAAATATTCATTTGTACTTCTTTTTAGATAATTTTTAAGGTAAGTTTCATCTCTAAATATATATTGTAAAAATATCTTATACCTATACATTTATTTGTGTTTTTAAGCACCCACCATTCCTTTAAATTTTACTATTTATGAATTTAGATCAGAAATGGAATTAACACAAACAGGTAATTGGGTGCTTAAATGTTTATTAATGATTGAAGAACAGTAACTTTCAAACCTAGTATATTTTGTCTTACTATCTAATACATTTTAAAATTGTATTTTTTTATGTTGCATATTTTGGACATCAGATTCACAGAATTTCATTAATCATAAAATTTGTATTATGGCACAGTATTATGTTATATGCATAGGCCTATTTATTTAATTAATTTGTTTATTTATCATATTAAACATCCTTGGTCTCACCAACTAATTCAAGGACTGTAACATTACTAATGACTGATATTTACTTGTATGCTCCTTGCTTATCTGGTACTCTGATTCTCTCACCAGACATGACTACTAAACTGTTAATCATTTTGATGTTTTTAAAAAAAAATATATTTTTATTGATTTCAGAGAGGAAGAGAGAGATAGAAACATCAATGATGAGAGAGAATCATTGATTGGCTGCCTCCTGCACGCCCCCCACTGGGGATCGAGCCTGCAACCCAGGCATGTGCCCTTGACTGGAATCGAACCCAGGACCGTTTAGTCCGCAGGCTGATACTTTATCCACTGAGACAAACCAGCTAGGGCCATTTTGATTATTTTATTTTATTTTATTTTATTTTAAAATATATTTTATTGATTTTTTACAGAGAGGAAGGGAGAGAGATAGAGAGTTAGAAACATCGATGAGAGAGAAACATCGATCAGCTGCCTCCTGCACACCCCCCACTGGGGATGTGCCCGCAACCCAGGTACATGCCCTTGATCGGAATCAAACCTGGGATCTTTCAGTCCGCAGGCCGACGCTCTATCCACTGAGCCAAACCGGTTTCGGCCATTTTGATTATTTTAAAAAAGTTTTAGCACATATAAATTTATGTGGAAATTGTATATTGTTTATTTTGTCATTTCTAAAAATGTATCATACTGTATTGTGACTTGGTGTTGGGCAATTTTGGCTCATTATGTTATTAAGATTCATCCCATATTGTTTGGTATAACTGATCACTTATTTTTAATGATTTAAATATATATATACATTACGACCAAATGACTGAACGACCAGTTGCTATGATGCTCACTGAACACCATGGGGCAGACCCTCAATGCAGGGGCTGCCCCCTGGTGGTCAGTGCACTCCCACAGCCAACCTCCCATGGTGGGCCAACCTCCCGCAGTGGGCCAACCTCCCGCAGCCCTCCCCACCCCTGCCTGCCGGCCCCAATCACCCCCATAGGGACTTGGCAAGACAGCCATGATTGGCCCCGATCACCAGCCAGGCTGAGGGACCCCACCTGTGACCCAATTCATGCACCGGGCCTCTAGTTTTATTATATGTGATTATATCTTAACTATTTATACATTCATTTGTAGATGAGTATTTGGGTTATTTCCATTTTTTGGCTATTCCTATATAATAAAAGAGTAATATGCAAATTGACCCTAAGGGCAGAATGACTGGGAACAACCGGTCGCTATGATGTGCACTGACCATCAGAGGACAGACGCTCAACATAGGACCTTCCCCCTGGTGGTCAATGTACTCCCCAGTGGGAGCTCCACTCAGCCACAAGCCAGGCTGACGGCGGCCAACGCAGCGGCAGTGACGGGAGCCTCTCCCTTCTCCTTGGTAGCTCTAAGGATGTCCGACTGATAGCTTAGGCCAGTGGTCAGCAAACTGAGGCCCCTTGAGTGTGGCTCTTCCACAAAATACCATGTGTGGGCGCGCACGTACAGTGCGATTGAAACTTCGTGGCCACACTCAAGGGGCCAAAGAGCTGCATATGGCTCGCGAGCCGCAGTTTGCTGACCACTGGCTTAGGCCCACTCCCCCGGGGAGCAGGCCTACTAGTAAGCTGGCAGGTTGACATCCCCTGAGAACTCGTGGGCTGCCAGAGGGATGTCTGATTGCCAGCTTAGGCCCCATCCCCTTTTCTCATTTATTCTGTTAACATGTTGAATTGCATTGGTTGATTTCCAATTATTTAATTGTGTGTTCCTGAAATAAACCAAACTTCATTGTGATGTTTTATTATTTTTATACTAGAGGCCTGGTACATGAAATTCGTGCACTGGGTGGGGGGGGGCAGTCCCTCAGCCCGGCCTGTGCTCTCTTGCAATCCGGGACCACTCAGGGGATGTCCGACTGTCATTTTAGGCCCATGGAGATCGGGCCTAAACCAGCAGTCAGACATCCCTCTCGCAATCCAGGACACTGCATGCACCAGTGACCATACTTTTCATACAGATGAAAGGCATCTTGCTGTTGTATGGGCAGCTACATTTTTTTGCCCTGATTATAAAAAGTAGTACATAACATAATCCTTCTGAGGTAGTAGTACCATTTTCACCATTTTATGGGTGGAAAAACTGAAGCAGAGAGAAGTTAATTGGCTTTGTCACACAGTTATAAGTGTCAGAATCAGGGGTGACCACAAAATGTGCAAGCCAGAGTCCATGCATGTCATCGCTGCATCATCCTGTTTTTTCAGTGTTAGAGTAGTTTTGCCAGTTTTTTAATTTTTAAATCTCAGAGACTGTTCCTAATATATAGGAATGCATGTTCATCCCCATGTAGAATAAATAGGATGTAGACAGTTTGTAGATTTTTCTGATGAATTAAAATTAAGCAGCCATGAATCTCTTTTTCAAATACTGCAGAAGCCAACTTCCTTGTTGAACTGTGTGTGGGATGTAGCAGTTTATAAGCTATGACATAGTCACTCGCAATCCAGGACCCTCAGGGGATGTAGCAGTGCACCAAGCAGCAGGTGGCCAGGGAGGAGCCTGAACTGGGGCCAGGTGCCCTGCCACTCACTCTCATCCCGGCCCACTATGCCTGCTGCCACTGCTCCCCACTGGGTAGTGTTGCTGCCGAGTCAGGAGAGGCTCCTGTCGCCACAGCTGCTCTTGCTAGCCATGAGCCCAGCTTCGGCCTGAGCGGCGCTCCCCCTGTGGGAGCGCACTGACCACCAGGGGGCAGCTCCTGCATTGAGTGTCTGCCCCCTGGTTTTCAGTGGGCATCATAGCAGCTGGTTGGGTTATGCCTTTTCTTTCTGGAATCTTGCTTGTTAGATTTTGCTGTCAAGGTGATGCTGGTGTCCTAATATGAATTGCAAAGTATTCTCTTTTACTTCAATAGAAGAGCCTGTGTAAGACATATTTTTTGTTTGATAATAAACACTCAGTGCTTTCCTTCTAAAATAAAGAACAGGTCAGTTCTATTCAATATTGTATTGGTGATTCTAACTACTACAATAAGGCAAGAAACAGCCCTGGTGGGTGTGGTTCAATGGTTAGAGTGTTGGCCTGCAGAACGTAGGGTTGAGGATTCGATTCCCAGTCAAGGGCACATACCTGATATTTTAACACCTCTCCTTGGCATCTGATAGAAACACTGATTAAAATAATTAAACACAAAAATCCCAAAGTGTCTCTCTCTCTCTCTCTCTCTCTCTCTCTCTCTCTCTCTCTCTCTTTCATCTGTCTCTGTCTCCTTCCCCCTTTCTCCCTTCCAATCTCTCTAAAAAAAAAGTCAGTGGGAAAAATTGACAACAAAAAGGAAGAAACAAAAGCATAACAATTAGAAATAAAGAAGTAAGACTTTTTTTATTCACAGACAACATAATAATGTGTATAGAAATCCAACTTAAAAAAAAACCACAGACTGAATCTATAATAAAGCTCCTAGAAATAGTATGTAAATTTAGCAGTGTTGCAAGATACAACATCAATTTTAAAAAGTCAGTTGTATTTCTAAATACTAGTAACAAATAACAAGAAATTAAAGAGTACTATGTTTAATAACATCAAAACCTATGTCATAATTAAGGATAAATTTGACAAAATATACACCAGAGCTATATACTAATAAAAACGAAAGCAGAGTAAAATTCAAAAACATACAAAAATGGATAGCTATGCCAAATTCATGAATCAGATGATGCAGTATTCTTAAGATGTCAAGTCTCCCCAAATTGATCTATCATATAATCCCAATTAAATTCCAGGAGGCTGTTTTGTTTTGTTTTTACAAGCCAATTCTAAAATTTATAGGAAAATACAAGGGATCTAAAAAAGCGAAGTCAAGTTTCATTTTTATTTTATTTTTTTAATTAAATCTTTATTGTTCAAATTATTACA